ATATGATGTAATTATTTTATATAAAATTAGATTTTAATAAATAATTTTGTAACTATATTAAATATTAAGTGTTATCTGTAAAAGTTATAATAAAAAAATTTCAAAATAAGACTTCTAGTTTTATATATAAAATTACTATAGATTTACAGTGACTTTTTGTAGTTTTTAGAAAAAACAATCTAAAAAAATATTACTAAATATACATATATCTAAAAATACTGTGTCGTTATACAGAAAACTTCACAACCGCCGCAACCCCAAACTCACCCTTAGTAATATTAACTTAGAATTTTTTTGGGTAAATGTCCTTTTTATCCCTAACCTTTTTGACATGTGACACCTTTATCCTTAACCTTTATTTTGTTATCCCCAATCTTTTTAAAACAAAAAATATTATAATTATAATATCACGTGATATTGTAAATTTATAATATGATATATTATTTTATAATTAATTTTTTTCATTTAATGATTTACTTGTAATATTGTATGCATTTATTTATTTAATACCATATCATATTTATTTAATATCACATAAATTTATAATTTTATGTATCATTGTAATTATAGTATTACAGTCCTAAAATTGTCTACCTATAGTCCTTCCGTTAGCATGGGACGTTAGATACCAACGGAGTTGCTGATATGGCCAGCAACTCACTTAAATTTGATTTCTTTCGTTGGACTGGATGGGTTTTTTTTTGTTCCTTTTCACGGTTGCGTGTGTGTGTGTGGCTTTTTTTTTTTTTTTTTTTTGTTAATGAATGAATATATATTATATGAAATGATGACATGTGGCATTGAAATTTTTTTTTATAGAAATTAGAAATAAGAATAGAGGAAACAAAGTTTGGTAAAGCTAAAAAAAAAGGAAAAGAAAAATGGAAACTGGGATCCAATGAGCAGGAAAGAAAAAGAAAATGTAGATGTAATTTAAATAAGAAAAAGTTGTACAACTTTACTTATTGGATGCAGGTAAACCCTCTAATATTAAGAATTTTCTTTTTCATCTAAAGATTTTTATTTTATAATTCAATCTAATTTGAATTATAAAATAAAAAAGTTATTTAAATTACATGGAGGTGAGATAGAAAACTTAGAGACAGCTGCTTGAAGTGTCCATTGTGGGTCCCTTAATGACCATGTCAACAGCTCTGTTAGTATTTAACGTCTTGGGCTAACGGATGAACTGTATATAGGTGGCAAATATCAGAAAGGTTGGGGATGATGGCCGGCTTGAAATAAAAGATAAGGATGAAGGTGTCCTGTGTGACAAAGGGTAGGGATGAAAAAGGGAATTTGCCCTTTGTTTTTGGTAAATTCGTATCATTTTATGGTAATGGCAAAGCGAAGCATTATCTACTCTAGCAGAAGTAGCTACTTACGTTCAGCGATTGCTGTATAATGCATTTTTTTTTCTTTTTCTGGCTAACATAAGAAGACACTCTTGATACAAGCCCTATGTAAAATATTGATTATCGTCCTTTGGTATGTGCAGGCGTGCTATATTTTTCCGGATCAACTCTATGACAAATTGCTTTTTCACCCATGCATCTCTCTCGAACTGCATTTTCCTTATACTCTTCTCCAATTATTATACATATATATATATGTATATATATATATATATATATAACCAATATTTCCAGTATCAAGGTCTGGACCAATATCCTACGAGCAGAAGGCACGTTAGTACTCTGTACCAATAAGTCAGGGTACTAATTATCTTCTTATTGTCAATAATTAGATTAACTAATGAATTCACAGAATTGAGCACACACAGGTTTTTGGAATTCTGTATTTCTGTTAGCACTTCACAGCTGCATTCTAGAACAGTTCTTGATCATGTAATTTAATTTGTTAAGTGCCATCCAATGTACCTAAGCTGTCAAGCAGAGTTTTTTATATTTAAACTTCCAATGTACAGCACATAGGTTTTGCAATGCCCGTTTTCTCTCCTACGTTCGAACTGTAATATATATGACGGGAATCAAGAAATTAGGAGTTCAGAAATTTAAAAATGAGAAGTTTATAATCATGTCATGACATTAAATAAATATGATGAGTTATTAAATAAATAGATATATGTAATATCACAATTAAATTTATAATAAAAAGATAAATTATATAATAATATATTATATTATAAGTTTATAATGTTATATGATATTATAATTATATTATTTTAAAAAATATATTTTCATTAAATTAAAACAATTTGTAGGTTGGTTTTGGAGTAAAAATTGGAAATACTGTAATAAAATATATGCCTGTTTTAACCTTCTCATGCAATAGGGAGCAGCCTTACTTATTTATTTTGGTAATCCACTACTAAAATTTTGATTTTTAGCAACAAATATCAGCAACATGGAATCCTTTCTTGCTGAAAAATTATATCACCGACAAGGGTTTAGTTGCTGAAAGCTATGCAGTACACTTTTTCCTTCCAAAAGCTACTCCACTTTCAGCAACAAGGGGTATATTGCTGAAAATAAATATCAGCAATATAGGGATTTTCTGGTAACCCTCCACCGCACTTTCCTCCCCAAATAAGGATTCCATTTCTAGCAACATGTCTCTTGTTGCTGAAAGTAACTTTCAGCAACAAGAGCTATGTTGCCAAAAATTTTAATCATTTAAAATTTAATCATTTGATAGGTGTGGCGGGAGTTTTTTTTATTTTAAATTTTAGCAACATAATGCATGTCGGTGATGAGTAAAAAAATTTAAATTCAAATGAGTTTTAGCAACATGGTATAGATTGCTAATAGAAAATAAACTTTCAGCAACAAAGGGGATGTTGCTGAAAGTTATTTATATACCCCAACCCCTTCTCAATAAATTCTGCAATATTTCTCCGCCCGCATGCCTTCCTTCTCCTCGCGTAGCCTTCTGCAATTCCCTTGGCCTGCTGCAAGCTGCAATTCCTCCGGCCTGCTGTAACTCCTCCGGCCTGCTGCAACTCCTCCGGCCTGCTGCAACTCCTCCGGCCTGCTGCAAGTCCCCCGGCCTGCTGCAACATCCTCCGGCCTGCTGCAACATTCTCTACTCCGGCCTGCTGCAACTCCTCCGGCCTGCTGCAA